CTTATTCTATCAAAAGTCAAATAGCAAATATTTGCTTGCCCATTGCTTAGTTGTCCATTGGCTTTGACTGGTTTGAAGAGCTGAAAAAATGTGACTGACATGACTGCTTCGGCATGGATACAAATGGTTGCCTAGGCACTTACACAATACCCGAAGTCGGTGCTCATTCGTCATTGGGCGCTGGAGGCTGGGATGGAAGACGGCGCATCGATAGATTGCGTCCTGATGCGTCCGGTAGGTTTTCGATACAATCAGCGTGCTTGAGGTCACCGTGCCACCGAACTCACCGGTCGTCTGCAAGCAGGATTGTGGCAAGAGGGAAGACGTTAAAATGCATTTTCTTGCGTCAATCGGAATGTTTAACAAATTAATTGCGCCATGTTAAAGACGCCGCTATAACTTTCTGCTACACTTTGGCCAATTCGTAGTCAAGTCAACGCCCTAAAATGTTGATGATCAATTTTTCATAATTTCCCCATTCAAGTTAGGATTTAATAAAGTTTATTTAACCATATCATTTCATTAGGTCGGAAGTTATGTATATTGAATTAATTGAAAATATCAATTTTTAGTTTAAGTTACGTCGAATTAAATTATGTTTAATGAGGACTGCATCACTTATGGGTCACCTAAGCCTCGATTTCGAGTCCCGTTTGTGGCGATGCTGAGACCGGATAGCGATGTCAACAGTAATACCTTCATCATATGCCAATTGTGGTGAAACTTAGCCTATATTTTAGTTGATTTTAATTATTTAATATTTGTTGCCATGTTCTAAATTTAAAATCTATTGTCCGATAATGCTAAAAATGGTTACTGTAAAAAAATTTAATTATTTGATTGATAAAATTTTCAGAATGCCACATGACAATCGGCTTCACAACTATTGTCAAAATGTCTTTTATACCAAAATTGACCAATGAAAACATGATCGAATGGACAACAAACATGATTTCCCATAACATGGTACCACTTGAAATGGGCCCTCGTCGTCTTGCCAAGGCGACGAGGACGCCGAACTGAAGCCACATTGCAATCGGGCAAAGTGACTTTGCCTGCCGGTTGCGATTTGGGTTGGACGCCAAAAGACGTAGAAAGCAATCTACTTCTCGAGGCACCAGTTTGGCCGAAGTGAGCAATGCTCAATGCCAGAACTGGCGGCAGAATGCATCGCATTTTCAGACGAAGCAGCTTCGTGCCCTCGACTCGGTGCTGGTGCCGCGAGTGCATCAGAAAGCGAGTCTACCCGAAGCTGATGTCGACTGGAGACAGGATTAAGTTCTACTTTTGATTGACTGTTCAGCCGAGCTGTGCACTTTAAAAGGCAGCACAGACTGACTGGCCAGACCGGCCTCGAAAAGGCTGTCTCAGACGCAGTTTTCATCATCTCAACCTTTCCAGCCGGCTCCATAAGGTCAGAATGTTACATTTAACCGAGAATTTGCATTATGTACATACCAAGGCTTTTAGGCTGACGAACGCAGCGCGGCCTATTCCTGTGAAAGTCCGACTTCCCTCGGAAAAGGTTATGCAAACTGGCATGGGTTGGAGTGCCGCTGTGCGACGCTAAAAGCATGAACACATGCTTAAAAGGTGGATTCGCCAAACACTCGTCTAGACGACCAAATATGCAATTTTATGATGCCATTGCAGACCTCCTCCTCCTCCTTCTCCTTCTCGGTTCACCCACAACAAAGCACCGGTGGTCCTCGAATTGGAACTGGCCTTTGATGCATAACCTTCGATTCGCTCTACCGAGCCATTAGCATCGGCGATAGAATCAACACTGTTTGCTCATTCAGTCTAGCCTGATCTACCGACAAGCCTAACAACACATATCGACTGGGAAGGTGTAAAGCTGAGCGACAAGATGGCTTGGACGACGCGATAACAGGCGAAAGACAAAGCCTTGATGCTGGTCAGCTTGTGGCCATTTAAAAAAAGATAACTACAAAGTACATAGTAGGCTATAAGTAGTGCGTATCGAAGAGACGAATCTGTCAGGTGATTTATGGACTGGTACATCGCCATTCACTTAGAGTCATAGTTATCCTGGGTCGCATACGATGATGAAGCATTGGTACTTGAAGTCTCCCACAAACATGCATACAAAAGATATTCTCATTCTGAGTGGACTGTAGTGATTGATGGAATTCCAACTCTTCTTTTGCGTATAAAATGACAGCGAGTTATCACTCTGTCATACACATGAGAAAAATTCATATAATATGGTGAGTTCACCGATAGGATGAACATGAAGTTATATGTAAACATACATTTATCGACAGAATGAACGACACTACTCATATCCAATATGAGTAGGTATCGAAACCACTTTGTTGAGGTTCTTCACCATCAATTTCTTTTAAATACTGTATAGCCTTGTTGCCTCTCAAAAGGTTATTCCGGCTAGACTGGACTTCAGCATCACCGCCAAATTGGCTTATGACAGTTCAGCGATGACTTCCGACATGTTACCACCCCGCCACTGCCATGTGCGCCAGTGGGTCACAGAGCAGAGGTGAATCTTAAGTCAAGTCATATTTTTTAGAATAGAATTTTCGAAAAGCAAAATCCTATTTTGGTAATGTTACTCAAGGAACATTTTCACTCAGAATAAATATAGCGTATATTCATTTTAAATAGTGTTTGAAACGACGTGCAAAATTTGATCTTATATCCAACAAATCCTCATTTTATGCGCATAATTACGAGAAAAAATAGCATTTTATTACATTTCGCTATAAAAAGCGTAAGAATGTACTCGCATAATTTGATACAGTTGACTATACTTCATGGTAAAAGTTTAATTTAGCCTAGTTCACATGCGATGAAGGAGTGAAAATTGAATTTCCTTACAATCACA